GTTAAAGTAAATCAAATCAATTACATTCAATTACATTCCTCACTTTGTTCAGGCTGAAGTCAGGTTAACTAATGTAAATTGTGGTGGTTAAGGTTTATTAGGCAACTAATTGATATTTCAATACCACTAATTAATGTCTCCATGTAGATGAGATGTCTAAGAATACTACAAATATGCGCTGATGTTTGAATTAATTCTCTCTGTGATATAAAGATTAAACACACCCTTGTCTAATTTTTGCAGGTGTGACATCAAAAAAAAATTTTCAGCTGTTTTCCATCTTTAAAGTGACGTACAACCTGTTCAATTCACCTGAAAAGAAAATAGACACTTTCTAAATGCTGTTTTATGTATCTTTCAAATTCAGTTTCAGCATTCAGTCTACTAAGGTGTCGTGCCATTAGTTGTTTTGTACATCTCATAACAATCTCCTGTATTAGTTGTGTTTTTCCTTTCTTCAAAAAGAAAATATCCAGACATAGCTAAGAAAAAAAAAATCAATGTAGCCCTGGTAAAGGCACTAACCTCCAAGTTGCCAACCGAAATGGGTATTCCAGAGATGTCCTTAGAATCTGACTGATTTGGTGAATTTTATCTGCAGGACTTGAACAGTGCTGTTCTGCACAACTTTGTGCTGGTCTGTTGATAAAATCCCAATGAAGTTTGTAGCTTTAACAGGTAGGTGTAACCCCCCGCTCCCCAAAGCTCAGAGGATTTACAACCTTTTCAGTCCAGCAGTGGTGTTGATAAGATAATTGAATTAGATCAAAACTTGTGCTGTTAGATAGTAAACAGCATGTTGTATTATGATAGAACATATTGTTAGCATTGTACCATAGCCTAAAAAAGTTCGTTGAACCAAATCCTTTGATCGTTTTGTGTCTTGTCTTTCTTCTCTCTTCTCTTCAGGGTCACAAACATGTTTTTTTCCAAAACAAAGCAGTGGCCAGTCACTATGTCTGTATCTATTCACCAATGGGCCTCACAAAATCTCCACAAGGACTGACCTCCCAGGACAAAAAAGCTTCTCCAGTCACTCCAGTAACTCTTGGGAGAATTCTGAGAAGCCTCAGCTGAGCTGCTCAATACACCAACAGCATCAAACTTTCACCACAGACTGATTTACCAAGTCATCACTGAGAGAGAAAGAAAGTCCCTATGAGAAACAGTTTTCAGTGGAGCATTGACGTACTTGGACTTTTCATGCTGTTGTGTCCTCCACCACCTGATTTCTAAGGGAAGGATCCTTGAAGATCTTTTTATTCGTACCTTTTGTGACTGGATTCAAACTTATGAAGAGCTTCTTTTAAGAGTCAGCAGTTTTAGAGTCCTTACAATCCCCTCCAGGAAGCAGTAATAACCCAGCCACATTTCATTAACAACACTTTGCTGCTAAAGTGTCATGATTTTACTGAGGCTGAGCCAAACACTGTAGTCTGCCAGATTAGAGCCTTTAACACCTTTCTCTTGTTTGACTCGGTGGAACTTTACAAGGCTGAGGAGAACGCCGCAGGACCATCGCTGGGCAGCAGTGTTGTCACAAAGACAACAAGAAGACGTCATTGTCTATGGTTTCTTGCTGAAAGTCGGTACTATGTGGACGTTTTGGATGACTTAGTTTGCGTCTTTTTTTTTTATGTGGCGCAAACATAGCCTGGCGGAGCAGTTTTTGTCAATGAACCTGAGCCATATTGCCCACACCACTGGGAGTATTTAGCATATGTGGACCCCTGGCTCATTTTATGTGTTTTGGGAGACAATGCATGTCTGCATCTGTCCATGTGTGTGATTCTCTGCGTGCGTGAATGCGTATTTGTGGGCATGTGTGTGTGTGTGCGCGCGCGCGTGTGTGTGCGTGTGCATGTGTGTGCGTACAACAGGAAACACACTGTGAAATAAGTTCTATCTAATGCATTATTCATACTCTTGTATATTTTTGGGACATGCCCAGACTAGAGCTCATCATCTGGCAAAGAGAATTTCACAAAAGATCCAGTTCATATCCACGGTTTCACCTTTTGCTTATTTTTTTCTCGGTTTCTCTCTTTCTTTAGTATTTACAGATATTTTTACTGGAGTAACAAATGGTTAAAGCTGGATGAAGCTCACAACGGATCAAATCAGTTAAATCCTCTAATCAGTCTCTTGTTTATGTGATTAATATTATTTCTTAATCCTATTGAAATTGATTATATTTTGATATACATGTCCAGCTCTTTGCAGGACATGGTATTTGCAGATTTAGATGATAGTGTGACTTATTTTAAAAATGTATGTAGATCAATATATATCAGACAAATATATTTTATGTTCTCATTAAAGGGCAGCAGAGCTGTTTGATTTGGGTGGACACAAAAACATAAGCACTTCTAACAATACTCAGCCTGAACATTCTCCTACATTGTGAAGATTATTTTATTTTCTGTTTTCATTTCTGGCAAGAAGATAGGAGCAGTCTGCTTTATGATGCTGAAGTGTTTTTGTTCATGTGTCCACGCCATTTGTTTAATTCCTTCTACTGAAAAACAAAAAAACCCCTCCTTTACGTCTCCATTAACTGTATGCATTCAAGGATATAAATAGTGTCTGTTTCTTAAGGTGTTTAGGATGAACTTGGTGTATTTGTGAGAATCGATTTACACCACTCGGAGCCTGTGGGTTGCGACAGTTGTGTAGACTGTTCAAACATCTGTTTAGGCTTTATAGCTCAGTTGTGCATTATGTGTACAAAGGCTTGTAAGAAATACAAAACAGCAAGTGTGTTTATGAGAGATTGGCTTCGTGTGTGTTTGTTTTTTCCAGGTCAACTATGGTCTGTATTGTGAGAAAATATCCATTTCCACGTTATCCAATGGTTTTGATTTCATGCAGCCTTTTTAATCACTCCTTTGGTTTTGCACTCTGTGTAAATAAATTGTCGCTTTGATTTGACTCCCTGCCACTTTCGGTGCTGCTGCAGATGGATTCATTAAAGCTTTTGAGCTGGAACGTAATTAGAAGTACAAATGAAAAACTTTTTCCGAATGGTGAAAACTGGACATGGTGCCGTATTAGATTTTTACAGTATGGTCTTCTTGATTAACTTACACTTGTTTCACTGAATTATGGTATTTATACTATTATGGGATGTATTTCAATAGTTTAGGAAAATACTGATTTGGGTTCAGAAGTGTCTACCATCACATTTGACGTTGTAGCACCACCAATCTGATCTTCACATAATCCTGCTGGATTATGAACCTGTTGAAAAAATGTTAAAGACACATGTGCCACTGTTGCAGAATTGACAATATCCAACAGTTAAGGTAGAGTCCTGACTTCTCTTTCTACACTATGCAGACCTTCTGTCTGCACTAATGAAGATTTACTTACCTTAGTCAGCTGAGAGCTTGGAAAATTTCCAACTGATGTTCTCTGGCCAGCTAATAATCATTTAAGCACTTGGGGAAATGAGCTTTTATCTCCAGAATATCTGCATTCACTCTTAAAAACACCCTTCTTCCTAATACAGTTTGTCTTATTGATACTGCTTGTGTTTTGCTCTCACTTTTGGGTTGTAGAAGTAAATAATATCTGATGAAGGAATGGTCAAAATGTACACAGCAAATTTGGATGTGTTCCATCAACTCCTACAGAGTTAAATTCAACATTTTGAAAGTGTCTATATTGGTCTGGATGGTGTAGAAATTACACTTTTGAAAGTGTTATTTGTGATATAGTTGAATCAACACTCACAGTAGTTGAAATTAAACACATCAGTGTTGACTTACTCAACACTAATGTATATTGTCAAAAGTTAACACTATGAACGTGTCAAACGGTGTAAAGTATATATTAACATAGAAATCTGAGTTTTGAAATACAACTGCTGCCAGTTGTACCACATTTCTACGACA